CACTGATGCTCATAAGTTAAGCAACACTTTGTTATTTCTCGAATTTCTCAGCAACCAAAAATTTTATTGAGGCAAAATTTGTACAGTAGCTAGATATTTCTCCTGTTTTTACTTTGACTTACTGGACCGTGACATTAGAGTATTTTTTACTGTTGGACACGATAGAATATGCAATGGGGGTGCCACTTGCGAAAAACACAGTTTGGCCATGCCATGAGGAGCTTCCAGTTTGGCTAGTTTCATGGGCACAATTTGTTATTTTGGACCAACCAATGGTTAGAAGAGGACGAGGTAATCAGATGGCAAATAATGGGAAGTCATCGTGCTGGGGTGCCAAAGAGACAGATTGCAAGGCAACAAAAAAGCAGCACCAAGTCAAGTGTCTAAGCTGGTAGCAAAATGGCGCCAAACCCATCATGTATTGGACAAGCCTCTTTCTGGTAGACCAATATTAACCGACTCAAGAGATGAAGATATCTGGTTCGATTATGCCACCAGGACCAGTTCATATCAGCAAAACAATGAAAAATTGCCACCGTACGTCATTCAAGGGAGGTGCCCTGTTCAACAATACAGAGACGAAATACCATTGGGGTGCATACAATCACACATTCAAGCAAATCCAGAAAGAAAAATCATTTTGGTGCAGGACAATGCGCCCATCCAGAAAGCATGGTCCGTGCAAGACGCTCTGCAACAGCGCGGTATCCCACATTTGGATTGGCCTGCATATTTATAAATTCTCAATGTAATCGAGCATGCTTAAGATATGATTGACAGGGCTGTAAATGAGAGGCAACGTCCAGTTAGAAACATTAGAGAGGTCCAGCAGGCAGTAAATGAAGAATGGAACCGGCTCTCAAAGCAAGATTGGCAGAATTTGGTGGCAAGTTGCAGGAGACAATGTGAAGCTTTTGTTCAAAACCAGGGAAAACACACCCGATATTTATTGCATAATAGACGATTAATCATTTATTATCTACAATCTTCTTTTATTAAAACTAATTTTTAAATGATCGAACTTTAATTTTTCATAATAAGCTGTTTTAATCAGCACGTACTTTTTGCTGTGTGAGCATACTTTTTTGACACAAGGTTTGGCATATTTTAGTAACGTTTGGTTAATAAAGTTATTTTGATTATTACAATAAGCTGTGTGGTGTATTTCTTTAACCGAAATATTCAACTTGAATAAGTTATTTATAAAATATGAAAGAAATATGCATAATCCCACTAACAATGAAATAATGATCATGATAGAAGAAACTTCTGAAAAAATCGGGGTGTTGCTTAACTTATGAGCATCAGTGTATATTGTGTTTGACTTTTAGGATGATGACTTTATAATACAATAATGCTCATGTTCCTACTAGACTACAAACTTATGATAACGATAGTTAATTTCTGTGCCACACAAGCGGACATAGCGAAGACCAGTTTATTTACATATAAGCTTGGGAAGTTAGGTGCAACTCGATTATCTAATACTGCTGCTTCATGTAGGTCAACTTTGTCACCTTTTTCTTTTTAAAAATATATATTTATTTTAATTATTATAATAATATTGACTATCCTTATTACCAGAACAAACAGAATAATTTTTTCTTATTTTAAGACTTTGGTAAGATCATTTGTGTGGAAAGTTCCAAAAAAAAAGAACAAGTTAGCAGAATTTTGCCACAAAACGCTTTACCCGTAAATACATATTTTGAGAGGAAAAATGTCGGTTAGAGGAAGGTTTGATCCTACAACAGATAATGAGATGAGTAAATCAAAGAAAAGTCAAGGTTTGAGTAGTGCATGTATTTGTGTTTATCTGATTTTCACGCATCTGTTATCCATCAATCTGAGATCTCTCTCGGAAGACGTTAAAGTGCAGAAGACGTAGGTGACATGACAAAGCCCATTTATCGCTTTGAGCTGTGCGACATATAGTGCTTCATCCCTGGAGTGCTGGTGACATTTGCAGGGGCGGTTTCTTTACAATAACAACGTGGCGTAGCACTGGAGACTGTAGCATGCAAACTGGAAATCACTTAGCCCCTTTACCGGTCAAAATACCTGCAAGGATGCACAGTTTCATCTCCTCACTACTGTCCTTTTTAAACCCCTCCCCCCTCTCTCTCTCTCTCTCTCTCTCTCTCTCTCTGATCGTATAAGTTGGGGTCGTTTCTAGGGCAAATACCATGAGTAATAAAAGCAATTTCTATTCAACTAACGACTCTGTCGCTGTAAAATAACACTCCAATTCTTGTTTCGATATGGCGCAGTTAACGTTACAAGTACGAATGGAGGAATCCTTCCTTTAATATTGAATCAAAACCAATTTACCAACGGTAATTGCAACTGGTTCCATCTTTGTTCTGAAACAAATCGTCTTTCCCCCCCTGAACTTTTCTCTTGGCATTGCTATTTTATGTACATGTATGTCTTCGAACGGTATTAAATTTATTTTGCTCGTTTTGATACGATATTATTGATTTTGCATTTGGAAATGAGTACCTTAGTAACCAAAACCACTGGTTCTACCCACACGTACTCACTCATGTATTTTGTAATCGCCCAATGTGCAATAGAGTGATGTTTCCCTATTCATCGATGGATTTTTCATAACGATTACATTATACCTCGTACTGTAACCCTCTACTGCACTCGCGTGAAATATGTTAGTTCTATCAGTGATGTTTTATTCCAAACCGAAGTCTTTTGCTTTCTCAAAATTTGAATAATACAAATGCAATAGGCAAAGAAGCAAAATAGTGTATAACGTCCAAAGCCTTCGTAGTGAAATCAAAGCTCTGCGAGACATGATGTTTTATTCCAAAATGCAGGGTTTTTTCTTTTTAAAATTTAAATAATTCAAAAGCAAATGCAACAGGCATGGAAGCAAGACAGTGTATAACGTCCGGAGTGTTAGTAATGAAATCAAGGGACAACTAGACACTGCAACGCTTAAATGAACATTGGCGCCGAGAACGTCAAGACAAACATACATGCAGAATACCTTTACTTCCCCATACAGAGAAACGATTTAATGTATTTTTACTTACACGATAATTCATATAAGAGAAATGCTTAGTGTACACGCGAACGGTTTGATATTTTGACTGTGTGATTTCTCACGTTTTCCCCAAATGTCCCCGTTTAATATATTTGTTATTATATTTCACCTGAAGGCAAGAATTAAAGATATTTAATCTTATATGAAATTATATATGAAATTGAAATTTCTGTACGTGTATCCATTTATCATTGTAATCGTCATACCTTCTACTTTTACAAAAGTCGAACGATTTTACCATATAGCACAAAACATTTATGTCAACATTCTGGTGGTTTTAAAATCGCCATTCTTGGCTGATGACTTTGATGCATGATTTATCTTGAGTGTCTAGAGGATTCAACCTGTGCTTCATTGGCTCGTTCGCGAGACGGTGTTTTCCTCTTTTATTTAAAACTTCCTTCTTCCCTCAAAAAAAAAAAAAAAGCAAAAAAAAAACAAACAATGAAATGCATTTAGCGCAATTCGTACAAAATTAAAAACAGTCAATATTCAATTATATAACACGATCAATATTGGCGAATGTTTTGCATTAAAAACGTAGGATGGTTGTTGCAGAGTCTCTCTTTTGGAGATCCCACTGATAATAGTCCACTGGAAGACCAGGAGAGTGTTCCTGGCTAAGGAACGGGGAAGGTTCTCACACACACACACACACATTACAAAAATTGTTTTTACTCCCCCACCTTTTATTAATACATGGGATCCCACGCACCAATAAGGAAATGGTGTTTTAACTCCCGGCGTTGGCAGGATATACATGTCAAGCCAACCAAAGTAAGTCCCTCCAACTTCTTCTTTGACCTTTAAAGGAAGCTTCGAGAATGCACTGCGTTGTTTTTCTTCAAACTCAATTACCTTCTTCTGAGGACAATTGAAATATGATTTATAATCCATAACAATTCAGATATGATAATCTGTTTTCCCGTGTTGCGCAGCATGTTGTCAATACCACCTCTTTTTTTTAACGAGCAATTTTTCAGTGATTCATAAACCATGAAAAAGATTTACCGCATAATTCCCCTTCTTAATATCAAACGCGATTCTCTTCTTCGCACCGCGCATACGCACGCGTTAGTATCGTATGTCATCAAAATGAAATGATTTTTTACATGCCGGGGAAGAGGGGGGGTAGAAACTCAAAGGCCAATACGTTCAAAAGGGAATGAGATATTGGGTTTTCAACACTATCATTGATAATTTCTTCACGTATCCTTTGTTCACCTGTTCCTAACCTTCTGTCTTCGCCTCGGATTACCTGCACAACCGGGCATGACAGATCTGGAGCTAATATGTCACTCTCTTTTGTGAGAAGTGCTGCTGCGGTAATCCATATATCTAATCGCTCTAATTTCCGATCAAATAACAACTATTTTTTATCCACTTTGCTACTGAGATCGTTTAGGAATAGCGCTGATGCTGGGGGAGCAAATGGCGGCAACTAGAGACAATTTAAACGAGGGATCTTCCGCTGCTTAGAGGCAATTATGTGTGATAAATGATCTGGTATCTCTGGCCACAAACCTCGTAATTGGAACTAATTGGAGATCAAGCGCCGAGGCATTATTGGTTCATGCTGTTACTTTTTATATCAGGAAGCCTTGGTATTGAAAACGAGCGTCTCAATTAGAAAGAATTGTGGGCGGCGCAATTTAGCCCTTCTCTCGGGTAAAATACGATAAATTTTTAATGAAGATTAAAATTCCTGATCCAATCGCTGACAAACAGTATATGAAAACCAACACAGATTGCGTGTTACTTCTTGCTTAACGTTTTATCTGTTACTTCCATTTTTCACGTATACTGTTTATATATATAATCCATCGCGGTAATACATGGTTTGAGCTAAACCACATGTATATAAGTGAATATGTTTAATGCCTTTGAACAAAGACAAAGACGTTTCGTCTACCTTTCAGAAACCTCAAATTCCATGAAGGAAGACCCTGTTGGATGACGTCACGGCTGCCTGAAGGTCGCTAGAATTCATCAAATGCATAGACAGTTGGACTTGCAGCATGACTCACTGAGGGACTAGGTTTAGAAAGTAAAGACATTTCGTCGTCTGAGTTTCATGTGGTCACGCAAGAGTTTTCTGGTTTTGGCACAATCAGTTTGAAGTATAAGAGAAGATTATCTGACACGACAACGCTCACATCTGAGAATGAGCGGAACATTGTTAATGTAGAGGTAACAAAGAACCATGCGCATAATAGATTTTCTAGGGTTTCTGCTGGCAGCATTGGATGCGATACCAAGTAAGTATTCAGTATTCAGCGATATTTTTAATGAATGGCTTTGTTTATTTTTGCTACATTGGATGATTAACTTAGTTGTTTATCTGTTTATTTATTAACCGTCATTTTATTGAATCATACATTTCCTTTTTTTTTTTAATTTTTATGTTGTATTCTGAAAGCATTTCAATTATTTGTCATCGGGTATCATTTCACTGCTGGAGTTCTGCACAAACTATCCAGAAAATCTATGCTCTGTGTTTTTCGGTGATCAAGAACGTAGATACACATTACTGAGAATCGCACCAGAAACAACTAGGTGTCATACCCTAGGTCTTGGAAGCCAAATCTGGAACCGAAGCCATGTCGAATACGTGCATTGTAGTATACAACACGGGTTATTTCACAGGGAGCAGTCCAGCTAGCACAGAACTTTATTATAACGTTACCATAACGTTTACATAACCAACCAACGTTATAGTAACGTTATAGTAACGTTATGTGTTTGCTTGGGGTACACTTATCTCGACCACCCCAGATTGACAACTAGGTACTAATGTGAAATCACGCCACAAAGTTTTTCACTCCCCTTCACTGGTTTTCCACAATCTTGATTTCTGAATTTAGTAAATTAAAAAGCCTTGCCGCCCTCTGCGGCTCCTTTTACTAAGTAGCTGACTCTCGTACGAAATAACCATGCAGATTAATTTATGGAAGAATGGGGTTCCCATATTATTAGTGCAGGCTAGGGTTATTTGGAGTATTGGGGTTAGTACATGGGACGAAAGTCACCTGTAATGTAATTGGGAACTGACTACGGTTCGTAGCAGACTACCATACCGAGGGGCGTAACAAGGGCCTAGGATCCTCAGTTCCGGGGATTCAATCGCATTTAAAAAAGTTTATGACGATGTTCTAAAAGCAGTGTAAGGAATCACTAACCTCACACAGGGTTTATTACACGAATAGGTAACCTTAAAGCGGCGTGTTTGGTTCAGTTTTTGATTGTACAAATTATTTTCACTATCAACGCAGCTGATGGTTCATTTCCATTCTGAAGTCAGGGAGCTCACGATTTTCTCTTGGCAGAGTGTAAATTATAGATGGAAATTACACACAGTAGAGGCGCCATGTGTTGTAATTGGTTTATTAATGCACCCTGGGTTTTAGAGACGACTGGAAACTCTCTGAGTCTCTGATATCTGCTGTGTTCTGGGAAAGTCAGAGCGATTCTGATTGTAGGGAGGTGGGTTTTAAGTGACCCCTTGGGGTGGTTTATGCTTTTAACGGGAAAAGAACATAATGCAGATGCGTTGGTGAACTAAATAAAGGCCCGCCCTTTATCAGGTTTGGTAACAAATTATATATAAGGTGTTCAGTAATGAGCCATCATCAACGTTGGACCCGAAGGGCTGAGGGGATGCTTAAACTTGGCCTCTTCCTTTCCTCGCAAAAACCACCAAAACAAAACAAAAGCGAGTTAGTTCCCATCGCTGTCCCATGTATACATATACATGTATAGCTGTATTACAGTAAAATTGTGCTGGCCTGTTTTGTTACAAAGCCCTTTTGCATTGACCCCCCCCCCCCCAATAAAAATGGAACCACCAGAGATATTACCATACTATGAGAGGTACATATGCAAAATGTTACCAGACATTTTCTAGCGAATACATTTTTATAAGTTTTTTCTAACCGAGGACAGTTCACAGGTTATGTACGGTTCATAGGGTATGTACAGAGTATATATGTACAGGGTTGTACATCTGTACTAGAATCCGAACAGCTTATGTGGATGAATGTCTGATATAGCATCTGATATAAGTAAACATTTTACTGTCATTGGAAATTAGAGGTAAACTTCGTGTCGTCATTCGAGACAAGAAAACACGCGATAATCCTCGTGAGGTGAAGATAGGGCGTAATTCTATGCCACTGGAATGTCATCTTAGAAAGCAATAAAAAGGGTGACACGCAAAAAAATGTTGAATTCGTGTTGTTGAACAACAAACAGGTGGTGTAATGAAACAGATCTGAAGAGCAACAACCAGGAAAATAATGGATAAATTCTGTCAGCTTTTATTCGCTACCCCACCGTACTGGCTAGTTTGTCTTTATTTCTGACCTCTGACCTCACATATTTCGGATGTTTTCAAAATGTCCATAGGTGTAAAATATTTTGTTTCGTTAAGTATTTCAAGTTAAAGGTTTTGATATTAACCAGAATAAAAATGGTATGCATAATTGTATATGCATGCATGCGTGCGTGTGTGTGTGCGAAAGTGCTTGCGTGCCCCTTGTGTTTCACTGTATGAAAAAGTGCACACGTATCATGTGTCTCTGTACCCGTGAGTGAGCATATCTCGCCAAGACGTGTGTTTGAGCTTTCCCTCAAATGTCTCTGTCACATATATATATATATATATATATATATATATATATATATATATATATATATATATCGGGGGATGGTTCTTGGTCCTAGCGTGTGTGTAACTAGACAGCCGACTAGATATGTTATTATCTCAAATGTGCTTGATAACCTAAATTGCAAGAAACCTTATAACCGGTGATACAATATGCGATAATTCAACAATTACTCAAGCTGAAGCAATAACTGGGATAAAGATTCATCAATGATTCAATGCCCAGCCGTAATCTAAAGTTCTCGTGAGTATGTGTTTTGAAGCATTTTGACGGTTAATTGTTTGAATTAATATAATAATGTTTTGAATGGCATCTTTTAGTATTTCGAACAAATTGAATGTAGCAATTGAATCAGTTCTATCGTACCAAGGCTCGCTAGATAGGCGAACATTGAAGACATCATGGTAAGTAGAATATAGTAGTACCACTACTATCAAAGTCAGTTCATACGTGTAAACCGACGCCTCACATATATAGGTGTTTGAAAGAAAGATACGCGACTTACATGTACTATAAGACCGTTTAATGAGACTTTTAAGGCTATTTACATTCCCGCTAAATAATGTGCGACAGTCTGCTAAAAATGACCCGAAAACTGGTGTTAACTTTAAGACTAAACTTATGGTCAATATTTGTCCATGATAGATAAGGGTTATAATTCAGACTGTGTAACGGCCTGCAGGTCAGTTAGGATCGAGGCAAATATATATATATATATATATTCAGTTGAGTAAAATGTGCTTGTGCCGCTAGCAAAGCGAGCCCAAATAGAAGTGCTTCGCTGGATATAAAGTATATATATATGTATGCCAAAGGTACAACTTACTCCGTTATACTACTTATGCAGACTTTGTATCCTATTTGCTCAAGTTATCATACAATCATGTCACAAATTCATTGGGTTAGTGCATGTAGTTCTACCTTTTTCTAGAAAGAAAATCGTCAGTCCGAAATTTAGTTTTATCTTTAAAGTTTTAAATCTTAGTTTATTTGACCGGGATAATTCAGTTGTTGCAGCTCCCGTAAAGTGTAGTAGTATCTCTACCGCCTTATCTAATGTACTTAGTGTACGTCGTATATTAGATGTGGAGACTGTTATCCTTCGATATACATTAGCGTCAACCGGTCGCTATCAATCACGACTCTTGACAAGCTTGTAGAATATTTGATGAAATGTGCCACAAATACTCACGCAGTAGTCTTCAGACCCGCGCCATATGCTAAAAAAAAAAAAAAAAACTAACAGAAATCGCACTGGGTAAAACTACGGATTATATCCAACGGAATGGAGGAGAAAACGGTCAATTTGGAAAAATCTGATACAAGTTTATCATCTCTTGGCTCCTTGAAGACACCAAAACATACAGTATGTAGCCGGGCCTGTATCAAGCCATTTCAAAGGGGAGGTAATTTGCTTCAATAGTGAACCTTTTTAGATGTACCCCGTTGGTTGACCCAATCTGAGAAATGGCATAGAATTTATATCACATTTTGAGTCAGGGTGGGCATTCTCCGGCCAAAAGTTTGGTTCATTCGAAGCCCTTACCCCTACCCACGGACCTATAGCGTTCAGGTACCGGTGTACGGTAGTTCGGAGATTCACTGCATGGAGGCTTCGAGGCCTCTCTGTTCATTTGGAAGCCGAATTTTAGATGTCTGAAAGATCGTTTCCCAAACTATTTCTATGCATGTTCGGGGGTACATTGTCCTATAGTGCAATTGCGATTTTCACCATAGTCAGTGTTCGTGGTCGTCATGGGTGATGTTTTGAAACTACAATGTATAAATGTACTTTTAATTTTAAAGTAACCTTTGGACCAATACTCATACGGTCGCTTGACCTCTGGACTAATTAATATAGGGACCAGCAAAGATGCGGAGTCTTTTTTGCTGGAAGAACATTTAGCCAGTTTTTTTTTCTATCTGTATTGCTTCAGTGACCCCTCAGGGCAATGACCCTCTGCGGCGTCTGGTCGTACAGAGCGGGTCACGGCTGGTCCCCATGGTAATTCCATGGAAATCACCTAGGACATCAACGTCAATCTTAATAAATGATGGCGTGTACGAGAAAAGGCCATGGTCAATGCGACTGATCGATGAATCTTCTCAGCGCATGGATTTAAATAAAAAAGGAAATCAAATCCCGGATATTGTTCTCTATGCCTGGATACCCGTGCAATGACACCGTCTGGCGCGACGTTGATTGGCATAGATTTTTTGGGTTTAAACACGAGAATTCAATGACAGATCCAGTCGGTACATGGAACACAGGTGGGCACAGCCCTCTCTTTCGCCATTCACTCCCATCCCCCCCCCCACCCCACCCACCCACCTCCAACACCCCAGGATAAAAAGATAACCAAGAAAATGGTCCATCCCTGGATCCACATGATTTACTTAGACCCCATTCCCATAGATTTTAGATCAATCTATCCCTGTGGGGAGTCTCACTAGATTACTGCCAGCTTAGCCGGCTTAAGCGTCTGTCCCGCCTACTAAAAGCTGTAAGGGGGTAATTAACTATGGTGCTCGCACGGCTGACTGCAATTTAGCGTGAAACCCCAGGGAGTTAGGTCGATCTAAATCTTAATCTC